CCGCCCGGCGTGTCCGGCCCCCGCCGTGCGTCTCCTGCCTGTGCATCCCTCCCGCTCGCGCTTCGTTCAGCGTGTGCGGCCCGGGCGCCGGCGAGCTTCTGCTGAGGCAAAGGGCACGCTGTACTTTGAATTGCCCCGGGAACACGCCAGGTTGGTTCATGTTCGCAAGGACGGGTTGCATTAATTTGCTCGGGAAGTTAATGCAGCTCTGGATTTTAGCGGCTTTCTAGGTGTAAGTAATTTCACGTAAAGCAGTTGTGATGATCAGCATTATTGTTCCTGCGCAAGAATAGCAAAGCAGTGCCGGGACTGCCAGCAGATTCTAGATTCATCCAACTCAGGTAGTGAGAAAGATGGAAAGGCATGAGTTTTGGTCTTGGCTTTGTGGCTGCCAGGTTTTGTGATCATGGGATCAGTTAATTCATGCGAGAGGAGATACAGTTTCTAAGATTCTCACATTTGCAATCTGTGATGAGCTTATTTTTGGTCCTGTACCCTTGAAAAGAATGGCAAGTAGGAAAAGTTCATGGAAGGCAGTACTGCAGGACACAAAGATTTATGAGTGCACTGAACTTTAGAGACTGTGGTTACAGTTTAGGACTGCAGACTGAAAAGGGAACACAAAATCAAAAGAACTTATCTAGAACTAATTATGTTAGAGAAACTTGGAAAGCTTTCAGAAGTTCCGGTAGCAATGACTGTATTTAATTACCTCTCTTTGCAGCTGTACAAATATGGTAAGGAGAAAATAAATGCTAAGTAAGAAAAAATACAGTTGAGAGGATATGTAACTTAGCATATTTCCTAAGTGTAGGAAGAATCCTTCAGAATTCATAATTTGTATGGACATTTGCACTCAGGAAACCCTTTTTTAAAAAAAACAGTTTTGTATTTCTCCTGCAAGAAAATCTTACATTTATTCTGAATGTTCAGAATTCCCTACCCTTCCATTGGCCAATATTTTTTAACAACCTTTGGAAAATAGTGATTTTCTTTGTAGTACATAGAGGAAAGAGCTTGCCTTGTGTTCTTTCCAAGACCTTAGTTTGATGCTTTGTAGTTGTGTGACTAGGGAAAGTCACTCCTCTCTCAGGTTGTATTTCAGTTGTGAAATGTGGATAATGATACCTGTTTCATGGAGTTGTGATAATTAAATAAAATCCTTTAAGTGGAAAACGTGCAGCAATGCCTCACATATCAGATATTCAATAATGACATCAATTGTTAGTATTGTGTTTAGAAGGCAGCAAAGAGAGGTGGTCTCTGGGTGTTAGGCTAGAGTGTATGCCTGAAGAGAAGTGCAAAGTGGAAAGTGATCGACAGCCACTGCTATCTATCCCTGACACTGGAATTTTGACCAAGTTGTAATCCCTTCCCTGAATCTCAGGCAGAGATGCTTCCCAAACACAGGTGATTGCTAAGAACACATCAGTCTCTCTGTGTTAGCCTGTCAGTCTTTGCACTTCATTAGAGTTGGACTTTTTCCCAGAAATTGTGCTAGGAAGTTAAGGAATGCGTGTGACAGTGAACCCCTCCAAAGAGAGCTCAAAGACAATGGTTTAGTTTACCGAACAGAGATTTCAGCCTAAGATAACTGAAGCCCTGTCACAGCTGGCTGTGGTCAGTATAGTTTACTGGACATTGCAGTCTTTGCTAGAACCTTTTCTTGTTAGGATGTTTGACTATCTACCAATGCTTTCTGGTTATCTAAACCAAATTCTTCCTCCACTTAACGAACATTAACTTGGGAAGGCACAGTAGTCTTAACTGCTCAGGAATCTAGTCTTAGCATTCGGAAAGGAAAGGAAAAGAATTCAAAAGTTTATTTTCCCTCCCTTCCTAGCTAATTTTAAAAAATTATAATTGAACAGAAAGTATTTTCTTAGAGTTTAACTTGGGATGCAGTAGTGGACGCTCATTTGTGGAAGACACATTTATTGTGGTGGTACATTTGAATAGGTACTAATGGGTGGGTGAACCATCCCACGTGATTAAAAACCATGGGGGTGGGGTGGGGCAATTCCACAGCAGTTTTGAGCTCTAGTTGAGTATTTACAGATGAGTATAACGCAGAACCTGTGGGTTGTAATCTAACTAAAAACTTAATATCAAAACCAACAGAAGAAAAAGTAGCCAAATTGCATTAAAACTAAACTAGCAAAAAAAAGTAGTGGCAGAAAACCAGGAAGTTAATCAGTGAGATGGCATGAGGTCATATGACAATGTAGTCTTTAAAAATTGTTTGCTTTTTTAAATGTTTCTTTATCTTTATTGTTGAGAATATTGTTGAGATGTCCCCTTTTTATCCCCACTGATCCCCTCCACCCCACATCCATCCCACCCCCAGGCTTTCCCCATACCAACGTCTGTGTCCATGGGTTATGCTTATAAACATATAAGTTCTTTAATTAATCTCTCCCTACCCACATCCCCCCTCCTGGCCTTGCCTCTGAGATTCCTCAGTTTGTTCCATGCTTCTTTGTCTCTGGATCCACTTTGTTCATCAGTTTATTTTGTTTATTATATTTCACATATAAGTGAGATCATGTGGTACTTGTCTTTCTCTGACTTGCTTATTTCACTTAGCATAATACTTTCTAGTTCCCTCTGTGCTGTGCCAAAGGTTAAAACGCCCTTCCTCTTTATAGCTGCATAGTATTCCATGGTGTAAATGTGCCAAAGCTTTTTTAAAAATTGTCTTGTTTTTAAGTTAGAAGTTAGTATAATCCCATTTCCCATAAATATTTGCTGACATTTTAAAGGATATCTTTGTGTATATATGTGTGTGTATGTCCATATAAATGAATACATAGACACACATAATGTAGTCACTGTAGAAAAAATCATTATTTAATAAGATGAATAAAAAGAATGAACAATATTGTCATCTTCGACAATTTAAGTGATAAGTATTCCAAGGTGTGAATTGGCCACAGTATATTTAACCCACTGATTTTCAGTAGCAAAAATGATGCTTGGGGTGTCCCTGAGATCCTTATTCTGTAGATGGGGCCCTGGTGTCTGTATTTTTAAGAAGCTCCGCCTCCAGGTTAGGAACAACCAATAAGCAGTCCTCTGTGTTCCACACAGATGCTTGATGAATATGTAGAATCACAGCCAAGAAAATAATCATGTGGAGGTCAGGGAAAGGGAGTAATGGGGAGCAACTGCTTAATAGTTTTCTTGTGTAGTGATGGAAATATTTTGGAACTAGATAAAGGTAGTGGTTGCATAACGTTGTAAATGTAGTAAGTGTCACTGAAGTGTTCGCTAAAGTGGTTTATTTTATAGTATGTGACTTTCACCTCAGTAAAACTGCCCTGAAAAAAAGAACCATATGTGCACTACCTTTGTTGTTATGTTGGAAAATAAATTATCCCTGTTTAGATTGACTACATTCTGAATATTGTATTTTCTCTTAATGCTTTTCTCTTAAATTAAGCACATTTGTATTGTTTATAAGATGCATCTTATCAGTAGTACCTTTTGAAGCTTAGTAATATTTCCTCCTTAATTAAAATGCCATCACTCCTTTATGATATTGGAGAGCCTCAGGTGGCAACAGAAAGAGCCCTGTACTTGGAAGCAAAACACGTGGAGTTGGAAGCTCAGCTCTGTCCCTGTCAGCTGAGACAGCTTCCTGGTCTGTTTTTTAGTCCTCCTATCCCAAACTTATTGGGGGGATCTACTGAAATTATTTATATTGAACACTTCCATATGTCATTGTTACGTAGTTACCATTTTTTAATTGATTTCTTAGAGAAAGAGAGAGACATTGATTGGTTGTTTCCACTTATGCAGTCATTGGTTGATTCTTGTATGTAGCCCTGACCTGGGCTCAAACCCGCAACCTTGGCATATCGGGGCGATGCTTTAACCAACTGAGCTACCTGGCCAGGGCCTGTAGTTTCATTTTGTTTTTTAACTTGGATTCAGCAAAGTTCAACAATGGGTTGAGGAAGGTACTACTGTATAGTAAATGAATTATTAGACAGTCTATAACCTACAGTGTTAATCATTATATTATGAATTTATTAAGGCTAAGTACATATAATATCAAGTATTTTAAAGGATAATGGGGAGATGAATTTTCAAGGACGGCTTGTTCTCGGTAGTGAAATGCATCAAGTATATGATGATTTTCTAGTTCCATGCTTAGGGAGCTTTCTGCCTCACTTACAACCATTCTGAATTTGATTGATGTTCATAAGTGAGGAATAGCTATTGGTAGGTCTATTTAGGGTCCCCTTTGGGTTCCTTGTGTTTTCTCTTAGTTCAAGTAAGCCCTTTGACTTTGTTGAGAACTGACGATCTTGTCAGTAGTAACTTATGGTAGGCCTCTCCTGGGAAATGTAGACTTGGGAAATTCCTAAAACATTCAAAGTAGAAACATTGGGCATTTTGCTTGCCAATAATAACTCTAATAAATTAGAAGTTTTGCCCTGGCTGGTGTTGCACAGTGGTTAGAGAGCATCAGCCCTCGCTCGCACCAAAGGGTCATGGGGTATGATTCCCGCTCAAGGGCATGTACCTGGGTTGCAGGTTCATTTTCTGGCCTAGTCAGGTGAGTGCAGGAGGCAACCAGTCGATGTGTCTCTCTCACATTGATGTTTCTCTTTTTCTCTTGCCATCCCTCCCTCCCACTCTCTAAAAAAAAATCAGTGGAAAAATATCCTCTGGTGAGGATTAACAAACAAAAAATAATGCCTCTTATATCACATAATTATAAATAAATTCTACCACATATTAATAAATTAGAAGTTTCTTTTAAACCAACACTAATTATTCTTGATGATATGTATATACACAAAAGTGTGTTAACTTGCATGTATTTCCTGTTAATGAATATGACGCCATATTTACCAACTGGCATGTAAAACTGCAGAACATATAATGAATGTGGGGGGCCTGGCTGTGGCAGGCATGTGAATATATGTCTCAGTGCACTAGGACCTATAAGGGGAAGGAGAATGGAAGTCAGCGTTTGGTGAGTGTCTTTTGTGCTAGTTTAAGAATATATGTTTAATCCCCACAGTAGGTCTGAAAGATAGGTATTTAGCTTAGTGATTAAAAGTATGGGCTCTACCCCTAATTGATTTTGTTGGCTGCTGTGATGATGACGATGTTGTTATTAATGAAGAAAAAACAGAGGTTAACAGGAATTTCCCTTGGAAGGAAGTTGTGTGGCTCTGACCCCAGAATCTGCCTCTTTCCTTCACACCAAACTGCCTCCCAGCTGTTACATAGTATGGGTACGAGAAGAGAGCTAACATTTATAGAGTGTAAACTAGAAGTACATTTTGGTAATTTTAAGTAATTGTTATTTTACCTTGCGACACTGGACTGCAGCATTTTTTAATTTTTTGCTCCAGTGCACCTGAGGGACTTTAGTGCCTCTCAGGAGGGACTCACTAAGACAGTGACAAATAGCAAATACTGAAGAACAGAAAGTAGACTACCCAGAATATAGCCTCCATTGTACCACATTGAATACATATACACATATCAAGGTATCAGTATATTGGATTACTTAAGGCCTGAATGAGAATTAGGCAACTGATAAAGTGAGAATGGTAGTTGCTGATTTGGGGTTTAGTAGATAGGGGTGCTTTGCTTTATTAAGGCAACGTTCCTATTCCACACTCGTTGGGAATTGTTGCAGGGGAGTTTCAGTGATAGCATCTGATAGCATTCTCCAAAGGAAACACAACTCTATTTATTTATTTATTTATTTATTTATTTTTTATTTTTAAAAATATATCTTTATTGATTTCAGAGAGAGGAAAGGAGGGGGAGAGAGAGAGATAGAAACATCAATTATGAGAGAGTCATTGATCGGCTGCAGCCCGCAACCCGGGCATGTGCCCTGACCAGGAATAGAACCCCGATCGCCTAGGATCCTAGGTCGACGCTCAACCGCTGAGCCATGCCGGGCCGGGCGGAAACACAAGTTTAAAGAAGAAACTGCGCCTCCACCCCTGGATACTGGTCCTCATTGGTGTGAGAAGTTCCAACTTTGAAACATCTTTTTTTTTATTTTCAGGAAAAACCCTGTTGGAGGCTGTTTCTGTGAATTAAAGGAGAAGGAACAAGAGTGAGAATGTCAGCCCTCAACTGGAAGCCCTTTGTGTACGGAGGGTTGGCCTCCATCACAGCCGAATGTGGTAAGGAGCCGGGTGCTGGAGTCAGGTCAATTTACCTGCTGTATGTGGCGATGATTAAAATTTAAGGTCACGATTGGTGTTTGATGTGAATGTAGTTCAAGCATAGAATGTGAGATTATGAAACAATCTCAGAATTCAAAATTTTCTACTTTTAGTATGCTTTTTCAGACAAAATAGTCATTTTTACTACTTATTGGCAGTTTACAGTTCAAAGTTTAGTGGAGAGGAAGTTGAAGTTGTTGATCAAACAGAAATTTTATGAATCACTTTTTAATTACATCAGTACCTAGTTTCCTTGTCTGTTTCCCTACTTTACCCCCACCTTTAACACATTTGACAGTAAAGAAGTTTGAAGAGCCCCAAGGTATTCCCCGAGCCAGAATTGATTGACTGTCATTATGCCGTCACTTTATGCACATGACCCATATCCTATTCATGACTTCTTCAGATTAGTTGAGGTCCACATCAAGTCCTGTTTATTCTTTGTTTATTCCCTGGACTCATTTATTCAACAAATATTGATTGAGCAGCTGCCAAGTGCCAGGTGCTGGGCTGGCCATTTCATTTGCTTCCAGGACTCAGTCACTGCTGTCCTGGGACGAAGGCTGCCCCTGAGGAGCCAGTGAGGACCAGTGTCCATGGGTGGAGGCGCAGTAACCACCCACGCACGTTGCTTGTGCGAGTGGGCTCTCCCATTGACACAGTAAATCACATTTACTGAGTATGAGTTTCACATATATGGGTGGACTGCTAGGCATTATATTAAACTCTTTACTTTAATAGATTTACTTTTAGACTGTAGAACACACAGTGAGAACTCCTTTGAAAATGAACTTATCTCTCTTTATTCATAATGAACCCAATTTTAGCCTTCACATAAGTAAAAAGTAACATTTTATTTTCTTAATTTTTATTTTTTTATTTTAATCCTCACCCGAGGATGGATGAATACACACACACACACACACACACACACACATTTTATTGATTTTAGAGAGAAAGGGAGAGAGGGAGAAAGAGAGAAACATCAATGTGTGAGAGAAACATTGATCAGTTGCCTCCCCACCAGGATTGAACCAGCAACCCAGGTATGTGCCTTGACTGGGAATCAAATCTGCAACCTTTTTGGTGCACAGGATGATGCTCAACCAACTGAGTCACGTAGCTGGGCAAAACTAACTTATATTTTATTTTTTAAAGTTATCTTTATTGTTGAAAGTATTACAGATGCGCCCCCCCATTGACCCCCTCCTTTTCACCTGCCCCAACACAGGCCTTCCTCATACTATTGTCTGTGTCCATGGGTTATGCATATAGGTTCTTTGATTAATCTCTCCCCACCCACTCCCCCACCCCTGCCTTCCCTCTGAGATTCATCAGTCTGTTCCATGCTTCTATGTAAAAATAACTTGTATTTTAAAATGGATTTCTTGGTTGTCTAAATCATTCCATGTATCTACTTTTTATAGCAATGCTGTTTCCTCAAATCTTATGTAGAATAAGATGAAACATAAGTAAAAATGTCAAGAAAGGAAAATATATTTATGCCTTTTTAAAACAAATTTTTTGGTTCCTATTTTTTAATAGAAAAAAGATTGCAAAGTATCTGTCTCTGTTTCTTCGTTTATGTTCTACTTTAAATGTCTCTTCAGTAATATGTCACTATGCATCTTTTATTTAGTGGACTTTCTTTTTATTAAATGAAAATATTTCTTTAAAATTTTAAGGTACATTTCCAATTGATTTAACCAAGACCCGGCTCCAGATTCAAGGCCAGACGAATGATGCAAACTTTAAAGAAATTAGGTATCGAGGAATGTTGCATGCATTAGTGAGGATAGGCAGAGAAGAAGGCCTGAAAGCGCTGTATTCGGGGTAAGTGGCCTTTGTATGCTCTATTTTACTGCTGACCTTTCAAATGAAAGTCTTTCAGACTAAGAGTTCGTAGAGAAAAAGTAAAAGTTTGAGTTGTATTTTTAAAAAGCAAGTAACATGGTAGGTTTTTCATTTTTAATATCAACTTTATTGTATTTATAAGTATTTGACATACTGAATATTGTGGTTAAACTATTTTATTATATTTAAATACAGATTATAATATAAAGTTACATTTGTTTTAAAAAATACCCTGTAATTTAGTTTTTTACTCTGAAAATAGCCCTCCCCTGTGGCTATTATGAATTACCAAGTTCTTTGCCATAATGGAAATGGTATAGCATTCCCCATGGGTAAGAATTGCAGTAAACTACTTTTCTTTAATCCAATTTTTAATAAACAGTGTGTAGTAGGTACTAGATAGGAAAGTGAGTAAGACAAGGTCCTGCCTATGTCAGTCAGAGTCCCTGCAAGAAACAGAATTCATTTGGGTGTTTTAAATGGAGAGAGTTTAATTAGGGACTACCTAAGAGTTAAGGGGACAAATGAAGGATATTGAGAACCTAAAAACCAGCAAAGTGAGAAATTGTTACCAACCCAAGGAAGGGAATACTTGAGCAGAGCCTACTGTGGCTGGAGCCTTGAAGGAACAAACAGTAGCTGTCAAGGGATGCTTTGGTAGTGCCCAAGTTGAGGAAGAAGCACCTCTGCTTCTTTCTCCTCCCTCCCCCCCTCCCTC